AATATGACAATACAAAAAAATATAATGGGGATAATATATGACAATACAAAAAAAATTAATGTGTAATATGATAATACAAAAAAAATTAATGGTGACAATACAAAAAATTTTAATGGTGTGATTTGACAATACAAAAAAATTTAATATATAAATTAATAATACAAAAAATTTTTGGAATAGAAGGTGTCAGTTGCCCTAAAATAAATAATAGCAGAATTATCTGTAATTCAAACTCAACCCATATGCCAAACCCTTCCCCATCCCTTTTCCCTAAACCCTAAACAAAATCACCCAATATTAAAACACTCCCAACCTTCCCTTTTCCAGCGCCTTCTACGCCTCCTTCTCCATTGAAGTTAAAACAAACATATATACATTGAGATGACAGAAGAGTTTTTTCGTTTGAGAGGATTTTCAATATCAAAGCCAAAACCAACGATTTTCAGACATCACTGAGACAAGAGAAGTAGACTTCAACGATTCTCCTTCTCTTTTCCCCATCTCTATAATTTTATACAAGTTTTGGGTTAAATATAGCTGTTGAGATGAACAGTAGATACCAACAATTCTTTTACAACCTCTCACATTTTCTCTCTAGAGTTTATAAAATTTGTCACCCCAAGTCCATTGTTGTCATTTGTCACTCTTGATGTCACCCTCTTTGGAGTGAAATTTTTTAATTTTGGGGTGACATTTTGACGGTTAAGAGTTTGTCACCCCAGATAGCACTCCCCGTTGGAGTGCTCTTATATCGCATAAAAAGCTAAAAAAAAAATTAGAGAACTCAAAACCTTAATTGACACAACCATTACTTTCCGTTAAAAAATCTAAAACAACATTAATATTAACCCATAGAGGATACTCGAGAGGGTTAGAGTTAATGCTTTCAACACTTCTACCTCAGTTGCCATTCTAATCTGTCTACATTGCCTCTGATAAAACCAAATAAGAAGTTCTCAATTCCACATCTAATCCTCATTCTGGAGGGATCTGACAGATTAGTCTCCTAGATAACTTGCAGCATCCAAAGGTTAAGGTTGTCTAACAAAACTAAAATGAAACCAAGAAGACCATTGCTCATAATTTCAATCTCCAAATCATAATCCATAAATCCTCCTTAATTTGCCTGTTCTATAAACAGTACTTCCCTAAGTTTTCTTTTCAAGAGACAGTAACAGGAGATAACCTTTCGAGAATACAGAAAATTAGCTGCAAGTAGATGGACTTTTCAGGGCGAGAGCAGTTATATGACCACAAAATCAAGTTTGACTACAGGATCAAAAATTTACTTAAAACTTTTTTGAATATCTATATCATCTTTTGAGTAAAACTTACTAGCTTTTAGGCTGCCATCCACCTTTGGATTACTTTTTAGTATGTCGGACAGTAGTATTTCCCCACAAAACTAGGCAGGAGGAAATTTCTGTAACAGCCAACAATACAAAAGGGTGAGCCCTAGGATCCAAATCACATTATCTAAAGATTCAACAATCAATAGAACTGTATGTGGACAGCGTTTGACACCCTCACGGGCTTGTAGGCTGCAACCATCTGCATATATAGCTCTTGGAGCCTCCAAAATAAATCTTTCCTCCGAATTGGGCCAATCAAAAGTCAACGTCCAACTCATGCTGCATCTGCAATTCAGGATCACCAGATAATAACCCATACACGCAGAGTATTGTCGCCAAAAGGACAAGCTTATTGCCTCATACTAAACAACTATTAACAAGTTAAACACATTGTCAAGCTTGAAACATTATAAACACGGAATATATATAAACAAATCAGGCACCCCAGGGAGGAGCTGGTTTCTCTTTGTGCCAAATATATGAAAGAAATAGTATCTTCCTCTGCTGGTGAATTTGCTTGTTTCTATCTTGAGGAGCCTGACATCTTTCCAAGATTTATTCAGCAGGAGAAGAGGTCATAATCTCAGAAGCATGAATGCTAGTCTTTGCTTCTTTCAAAGTTATCAAAATCCCAAGGAAAGATAAGATAAAATCAGAATGTGCAAAAATGGGGATAGCATTAAGTAGAGAATAACAACGACCAGAGAAATAGCTTCTGCAGGATTAAGCTCACCCCAATGTACACGGTGGTTTTACTCCATATTTACTCTTAGTATTTGTTTCAAGTGTTTATGCATCCCCTTCTCTTCCGTCTACATCTTCCCGACCACCCACAGCATTTAGCTGCTGTTGCAACTGGCAGCCAAATGTATATCATTGTTAGACTATTGACATGAATGATAGAAAAGCATATAGGGACACCAATCCTAAAGAAAAATCCCTCTACTATTTTATCAGGTAATAAAAGCATGCCCAAGAGGTGAAATTCAAATGACTACTTTTAAACCAAATTTTAATTCTAGGTCAGCAAATTGTCCAAATAAGTCATCATTATCATTTACTCAAACTACCTTATTGATTAGTTATAGTTACCTTGGTACAAAAATTCTTATGTTCAACCCAACCACCAGTCCAAAAGAGGTAACACATAAAAAGTCCAAATACAAACAAATCAAACTTAACAGTAATAAAGCGACTCACGTGTGTGTACTTTAATTTTTCAGTCATCAATTCATATGTCAAGTTGATCATCCTGCAAAAATGAGAGAGAGAGAGAGGGGAGGGTGAGAAAGATCATTCAATTAACTCACAGTGTAAAATAAGTAGAGAAATCCAAGCTTTGTTCACAAACCTAGCTTGAAGCTCTGAAATCTTGGTAAGGAGTAGATGTTCCCTTTCAGAGACCATTGTTTCAACCTATGAAATGAGCAAATAAAATAATGAAGATGATAATGCAGTGTTAGTTTATGATTAATCATGGTATATTGAGTCCAACTGGCTACATAAATGAATGTGTCAATGGTAGTACATGATTAATCATAGTATATTGAGGCCAACTGGCTACTTAAAAGAACATGTAAGAGGTTTATTTTGTTAGGGATTTATCACGATGCAGATCTTGTTAGAAGAATACATGTACAAGTTATTGATACATAGCATCAATCTTTATGACAGCAAATCCCACTTTCCAGCAGTAAAGATCCACAGTTCTGTTTGTGGTGAACCATAACAAGGCAAAAGGAACAAGATCAACAGTTCTGTTAGGTTCCTCCCCCCCACAGCAACAAGCAGAATCACTCAAAGACAGCATCCTGCAGAGGTCTGAAAGGATGCGGAATGGAACACACCATTCATGTTACTGTCTTAAGGTACAGTTGTAGGTGCACTTCCGTGTATTTATTTTTCAAGCAAAAACTTAAGCAAGGGTACTGCACATTTGACAAGTGACTGAATCAAGAATTACCAATTGCATTCCTAAGGACACACATAAGACCTCATTGAAGTGGGCCAAATACAGGAGAGGAGTATTTACTTACAGTTCCATTATTTTCAGAACTTCGAGGTAATGGAAGCAACTTTCCATTTTGAGAAGCTGAAACAAAATAAGGAAATCAATCCAACTCATGCAGAATCTTTTCCACTGGCATTTTATTAAATATTATTGCATTGGATCTTGCACTCACCATCTAATATCTCAGAAGGTTGCAAGCTATTGAACAGATTCATAATGAGATCCTGGTATTACAACTAAGATTATAATAAGAATATAGTTTGTACTTAAATCAAGCATCTTAGAAGCAAACTTAAATATGAAGAATGAACCATAAAACCAACATATAAATAGAAAGCCTTACTGTCTTACTTGTTGAATTGATGTCTGCTGAAAAAGGTTTTGAAGGTAGGGCACGAGAATTGATGCAGGCACATTACTGGTACCAATTTCTTTCAGTGAGTCACCGATAGGCTGAAAAATAATGACCAATAGGACATCATATATGGTAGTAAAATGGAGACAGAGCCTAAGAAGATGGAGGTAATGGCATGGAAATATAATATTTAACTAAACCTAATCCAATCAAAATGTAGGAGCTCAGTCCACAAACCATTTGTTTAGATTCAAATACCCAGTCTCCCACACTAGCGGACTTCATTAGTGGCGAGCCCTATAATTCAGATGAATAGAACATCAATGAGGAACTAGAAATCCAAATCTATAATTTTTTTGGGGAAAGAAAGGTTTATTGTAACAATGGATTGTTTACCTGTGATGATCGATGAGGAACTGTACATAATGGAATATCCTAATATACATATTTAAGTTCGTGACATCCATTTAATGGAAGGGAGTATTGTAAAAAAATGGTTGTACCTTTACAAGATCTACATTTTCTGATGTTACTGAGAACCGCCCTCTAATTTGTACAAGATTGGCCATTGATTTATCCTCCGAAGAATCTCTAATTCCTATTGGATAAGGGAAAAGTATCTATGTTACAATATTTCTTATTTGTGGATTCTCCTCCATATAACTAGTCACATAGTGGCAGTAGTTATACACTTTCAGCACAAACAAGGTAAATTCATCACCACCTGATAATTTTATGGGAGCAGATAAACTGTTTCCTGAAGCTGGGCACTCTTCGTATGTCACAGTGAGTCTGTTTATCAATGTCACACCTAAAGAACAACCAGCATAGAAGTTAAACAAGCACAAAGGAAGGACCTAAAAAATAATAATTAAGGATGTGTGATAAACCTCTCTAAGATGTGCCCCCTTTCAGACATTGAATGACTTAGGATGACACCAGGCATGAGAGGCCCACTCAGAGGTCGGTGGCTTTTCTCTGTTGGAGTTCCAAATTGGCCTGTACTGCTTCCTTCTCTGACGTAGATGGCTCATTTTTGGATCCATTTTTATGCAGATCATTTTTCCATTGATTGTCGAAGTCCACCAAATCATTAGTTTCCAGAACTTTTTCCTTCTTGCTCAGGCACTCGACTGGGGTTACTTCATCACCCCTTACTTTTTCACTAAATCTTAACATGGTCAACAAAACAAGTACACATAAACACAAACTAAGCATACATACAGACCAAACTAAAAATTCAGTAACATAGTGCCAATTTTTTAAAAACTCTGAGCAGTTAATCACATCAAAACATGTTTACTGCGTACTGCCATCTGTGGAATCTTGAACTCATCAAAAATGGTTGCTCTACTGAACAGATTTATTAAAAAGAGAAGATGCTTAAAATGTGACAACAGGTGTGCACCGCCATTTATCATTGAAATACTACTTCCAACTAGTCTACGTTTGGCAAAACTGATATCAGGAACCTTTGATTATCTCAAGTCATTGGATTTAATATCTCAAAACATTTCAATAAAAAAAAAATTCTCTTGCATTAATTATATATCCTACTCATTTGAATCAAACAACACAGGAAAACTCATCATTGTCACTTTGTTCTGAAATGCCTCATATGGATCACAGAATTCAGTAATTTTATAAAAATAACCATTTGGTTATAATCCCTGTGACAAGTGACAACTATATGTATCTCACATGTCACAACCCTAAAATAAACACAATTTAGTGCAATGTATTTGACAATAAATATGATTCCAAGCATGAAAATTTAGTGCATTTTTTAACTACCGATTGTATAACAGTTACCTGAAAACAATGCCATTTGTATATTTTGATCTCCTTAATGTACATCTGGAATTTGATGCATCCTGCCAGTGATAAGTTTATGAGCTATTTTTCTTTCTAATGCAACACTTTTGAAAAAATTAGTCATATACGTAACCAGAAGCATCATTTGATCAAACAAACTTGGAGTGCCACAGAATAATATAAATATTGCTACAGGGGAAAAAATACCGTAGGATTGACAAATGATTCCGTGCTCTCATCTTCTTCCCCAATTTCTTGTATTTCATCGTCATCTTGAACCTGACACAAGGAGAGATACTCGTCTGCACCACTTAAGAAAGTTCAAGAATCTAGCTACTCAAGATTGTCATTATCTTTATATGACATACAAGAAATAAAAGAAAATAAATGTAATGTACATACCTGGGATGCTTGGGCTTTTAGATCCTCAATATCGAAATTCCACGCACTAACACCTCGCTGATACTCACTCTGACAATGACAACCATGAATTTACCACCAGAAAGAAGATGAAAAAAAGGAAAAGAAACCAAATGCAGTTTAGGTTCCACTTAAGCAAATCCCACACTATATTTCCTCTATTCCAATTTTCTTTCGATGCAAAAAATAAAATGTCCATAATGTTACACTACCAGTTTACTTTATTTCTCCTAAGTTGATGGGTATTTATCCATTGTTAAATGAAGAAAACATAAGTTCAAAGCATGAACACGGAACACATGAATCATGATACTAGAGAGTGTGATAAGTCCATCAATACATATGTACTACTTAATTACAAAGAATAATCCAGCAAGACATGAATATATACAGATTTTAAACAATAAGGACTTTCTTGGCAAGGACAAGTTTGAAAACATTTTGAGAAGGGAAAAAAAGTTACTAGTGTTCTTGTCTATGCTGCTAATACAACCATAAATTGATTTATGGATTCAAGTGAAGTAATTAAGTGGAAATTGAGAAATGTTTTCACACCCTTTCTCCAAGTTTTTTTTTAAAAAATGCTTCTCTTCATGGAAGTAGATAGCCTGATGGTTACAAAATTTCTGGGCCAAATGAAATGTGTTTGTCCGGAATAATCATGAGGACTCTATGGCGGCATATTTTTTAGGACTCTATCAAAACCTTCTGCATCGCTGCTCATGAGGCTTATGCCTGACGGAACCATTGTCAAAAGCTTCTTTTTTTCTTTTCTTTTTTCCCAATTTGGTTCACATTTATTGTTGCTTTGGAACAATTAGGAGATTCTTTGCTTTTGGCGGCAACATGCTAATGGGCTATGGTCTTGGTTATGGGGTCAAATCAAAGTCATAGTGTTTGGGGGTTTGATTGAGAAGCAATAGAGACTTTGCATATAAAACTTGAGGATTGGCCTTCCATTGCTATCAATTTATACGTATATGGCTACAATTATCTGCTCCCAAAACTGAAAAAAACCTCAAAAGCAAGAAGAAAGGGGAAGCGTGGAAGAAACAAATGTAGAAAAATTAAATCCAGTAACAAATCAGAAACCAGCCATGATTAGGCAACAATATGGTCTATAAGAACGGATACAAGATCAAAAGGCTACAATTTGATTTATTTGAGGTTCATTACTTCTCTTATATTTTATCATCTAAAAAATTTCTCAATACATTCAAATTGAAAAATGAAAACATGGAAGACTAGCATCACCCCACAAAGGTCTAACACCTCTCACTACAGTGTCATTCTTTAAATTAGAGCTGGCACAGAGATACAAGTTTTCCTGCTGGCAATATTGTCCATAACAGATCTATAGACTACAGAAAATGATAAAAAGAAGTTATAACCAGGTGCAAAGTTTTGCGCTTGCTGATGAGAATAATAGAAGACAAGTATAAGAGGAGATAATGAAAACCACTTTTCCTGGAGGCTATATGGTCCATAAGAGATTTATATACAACAGAGAAGTATAATAAGAAGTAATCACCATGTGCAAATTTTTGCACTTTCCTTTGAGAATAAAAATAAGACAAGTACAACAGGGACTAACAAAAATCAATACATGTAAATCAAGCAGTATTGTCCAATGACTACAGGAACACAAATTTTAACTCAAACACGTAATTTGAGTCATGCTGCTAACCTGTGATATTGCTTCTTTTTCTGTTGAAGGCATTTTTTTCAGAGCTAGTTGTGCAGCATCTTTATGCTGCATAAAATTGGTAATTGCATTAAACAGAAATACTAAGATGAGTGAAAGGGAGAACCCTATTTCATAGCATTGAGATGGCATACCTGAAGATCTCTTACACGATTCCATAGTGGTGGCAAGTCAGTAAAGAGTTTGTTTACAGAGAGCCCCGGAGGAGTAGCATGCTTGAAAAAAGAGTGTTTTAATAATTTTTCTGCAGTAGGCCTCTTTGTTTGATCTTTGACCAAGCACTTTGCAACCATTTCTTTGAAAGACTGTTCACAGCTGGGATAATTTAATCATCAATGCATATAAGGATAATTGTACAACTTAACAACTACAGTGAAGCCTTTTGACAAACTTATGTCCAGGGAGCGTAGAAGACTTGATCTTACGTTCCTCCGTGTCATGTTTATGGAATTATGAAAGACATATGGTTGTACTTGTCCCATGAACATAGTGGATGAGAAGAATACGGGTACCTTAGAGAACCTTCTATCTCGGTCATCATCAAGTCCAGGAGGGGCATTCTGCATGGTCATCAAGAGAACCTATGGCAGGAAAGCAAAGTTAGTTATTTCAGTATTGTAAGCTTAAGTCTCACAGGTTCAGGTATATACCTTCATTGGTGGGTATTTTGAAAATGGCGCATGACCATGAGCCAACTCCAGAGCAGTTATTCCAAATGACCAAATGTCAGCCCTGCAAAAGATCAATAAGATAGGAAACAACACGACAAGCCAGATGTAGGTGTAGGAACGCCCAACTCTTCCTAGTGCATGTCATCTTGCTTATGGGAAGAAGAACAAAACTGTTGTTTTTATACAAATGTAGCATTGAAGTTTCACTGCTCTTACCATTTCTCATTTTTCGTTGGTGTGCAAAGCACTCTAACTTCAATTCAAGTAAAGTTATGACACGTACATAGGGGTGTACATGAGCCACATTCAAGTTGAGTAGTGGATTGCTTAAGCTTGCATCCTCATTTTATTCAACTTCAAAAGAAAGATTGAATTAGGCGAGCAAGCACCTAACTGGGTCAATCATGGGTCAGGCTCAAGTTATTTAGATCTTTACCTAGTTTGAGCTGAGCTATGAATTTATATGTTGATAAGCTTTAATATGTTTTCATGTAAGGCTTGTTTATTAAAGGAGTTGAAATCCATGAGCAACAAAGCAAGTATGAGCCAAGCTCAAGTATTTTAGTTCGTTTTACAACCTCATAAGTAAGAACGTTTTATTCCTTTTTTTAATCACCAAATCATATAACATTAGTCAGGCTTCTAATTTAGGACTCGGCATTTCCACCCTTAAAATGCTTATCCACTCCTCTATTGTCAATTACACTTGTATAAAACTGCCCAACCAAATGGGTAGAATACCCATAGGTCGACGCAAGCCCACACAGCTGCAAAGGTTGTTAACTCCATCACTATCTTCATTATTATTGGACTAGCTAAGACTAGGAGCTGGTTCAGCTACTGAGCTTTTCTCATTTTTCAGTTATGTGTCTTCCTCTTCTCTCTCTCCCTCCATAGAACCCTTCCTTTCTCTCTCTCTCTTGAAAACCACTCTGCACTCAAAACGGTAACATTTCCACTTCATAGTGATTATGCAGAACGTACGAAGGAGACAAAGGTCAAATCGAGAATTTCATATGAAGCTCTCTTAGGGCGCATTAAACTAAGCTCAATATTAAGTTAGATTCAAGATTATAAGCTACCAGTATAGTTTAATTTATAGTTTATTAGATTCAATAAATAACGAGGGCATGTCTTCATGCAACAGTAAGATTGCTCCATTGCTACAAGTTCGAGTTGCGGGAAAGTTCCTCAATGTATAGAGGTAAGGTTGCATACATCTCATTCGTCCTAGACCGCACAGTGATGAGAGCCTATACATTGGGATGTTCATTGTTTTTAAATTTTAGGAGCTAAGGTTATTTAGTTTTTTCAATCGTTGTTGAAATAGGTTGTGTTCATGATCCATGGGTATACTCTAAAAATTTCTTGATTTCAAGTCACTGTCCAAGTAAAATTAGGAGAACCAGTAGCTTACAACTTTCCATGATCATTAAAGTGTGCCATTATGTAGAACCAATATTAGTATGTGAATTTGCCTAACCCTTGTAAGAGTGGAGCCCACATTCTCTTCTCTTCTCCTTGGCTTGGTGCTCCACATTTGCAATCAAATTTTAAAATCAATCTTTCCTAACCCCAAAGATCCTAGTTAACGTAACCCAATAATTCTTTTTTGCAAAACTCCACCCTAGAAACTAGTAACCACCTCTTAAAATTAAATGATTAGCCTTGGAAAAATCTTTATTTGAGAAGAAATATTTTCCAGAAGTGTCTTTTGATGTTGGTCTCAATAGTCATCTCAGAAATGTTTAAGGTCATGATGGAACATTTTCAAATACTCCAAGATGAAGACACGTGTCCTCGGCATCAGTAAATTCTTGTTACTGTAATCACGACACGTACCCGTCGGTTCACAAGTCCCTCTTCCCCCGATGTACTGTTCATAGGGATCAATGACACCCAGTACGTTACGTACCGACACGTATCTCTCGGTCGGATATGGGATACATCGGTCCCTACATGTACCAGTCCCTCGGTACCGAGATGTACCTGTCCAGGATGGCGTTCTCTGCTCCTGCAGAGGCTACTAATGTCCAGGTCACTAGCCTAGGCTAGGCTAGGTTAGCCATCATGACCTCGTCTTACACAATTGGTGTCAGAAGGCACAAGACACAACCAATAGGGAATGAGCGCGTGGCATATTGTGTCAGATCAGAGACAAAAAGACCGAGATGCCCTTACTGACACACGACTTGGGAAAGCAAGCATTTAGTGCACCATTCCCTTGATGAGACATCATTAAATGCAGTAAGGCTCGGAAGTGAAAGGTAATAAATGTCCCTATGATTGGGCATTTATTACATTCTTGCCAAGAGAAGCTCATTAAACATTCGGCAGGCCGATGACGCAGCATTGGTTGCTCGGGGTCCCGAGTAGTTAAGAGAGAAGACATTCCTCATAGGAATCAGTGCGCACGTTGCCCGTATCTAATGATCACCTACTAACCACACTGAACGCAATCATGAGTTTTTGAGGTATAAATACTCCTCACAAAAGGTAAGACGGTATGAAAGAAAGAACCTTTTCTCAAACAAATACAGTGTTTTCTCCTTCCCCTCTCTCAAAGAACTGACTTGATCGTCGGAGGGGATACGCCGAAAAACACTCCGGCGCCCTCCTAACTCATTTTTTTTCTGTTTCAGAAACCTCCCTCAGCTTTACTGGACCACTCTGTTGATCCACGAGAGTCACCCATTACCGTTCCAGGCCACCACCGGACCTCACAGTCTGTTCCAAGTAGCAGGGTTGACCATTCGATTGACTAACTCGAGTTCACCACGGGAGAGATCTGTTCTTGCGTTTATATTGTGCAAGATCCTGTACGCACAGGTCACATAAGAAAACACAGCCTTCCCCTCTTTCAAATTACTCTTTCGCACCTCTTTTTCTTAGTTTCTTCGTATTTTCAGGGAACCCAACGTCCTCACCCTCCTGCACCATCCTTTTTTCTTCTTCTGTTAGGCATCCGCTCCAGGGACAAGGGGGTGTTCTTCAGTATACAAAAGCAATAAAAACTTTTATCACAAAAATGTCAAAATTTTTGGGTACTTGCCCACAAATGGCAGTGGAGGAGTATTGTTCAGCACATGAGGGCAGGAAAGACTTCGTTTATCACAAAAACATCAACTTTTATGTGTAATGGAAAATTACTCACTTGAAATCGTATCCACTTCCAGGCTGCAACACCTCTGGCGCCATCCTAGAGAGGGATAAATTAGTGGTCACAAATAACAAAAATTATCAAAATAGGCAACAAATTTACGAATTTGAAAAGAAAAAGGAAGCTTGGTCAATCTCTCTCACCAGCATGGAGTTCCTACAAAAGTATTTCTTGACTGTTGTCGATCACCTTTGTCAAACATGCAAGCTGAAACACCAAAGTCAGCAAGCTTTACTACCCCATTACTATCAAGTAGTATATTTCCAGCTTGCAACAGAAAATATTAAACAAATCCATATTGGGACGTGCTAAACCAGATGAAATAAGGACATAATAGAGGGATGGAAAGAGAAGATCCCATCATTGCAAGGGGTTGGTATTTTGAGATTCAACTAACCTTAACATCGCGATGGATGTGTCCATGTCGATGTAGGTACTCTAAAGCCTTAAGAGTTTCTTTCAGGATAGAGCCAATAGAAGACTTTTCAAATCCATCTGGATATGCTGTCTTCATGAGGTGTAGACAAGAACCTTCATCCATGAATGGCATGACCACCCAAAGGTTTCGGTCAACAACAAATGAACAATGATGGGACTTTTCTAAAATGCTCCATGATGAAGACACGTGTCCTCGGTATTACCAAAACACTGTTGCTAAGATCAAGCACCATCGGCGCACAAAGGTCCTCGCCCCCGAGGTACTCGTCATATAGGATCATGCATTCAGTATGTTTTACAACCGACACGTGGCCTCGGTCTGATATGGTACCTCGGTCGGTATCCCTCCCTCGGTTCCGAGATGAGCCTTTCCTCGGTGCCGAGGTGTACCCGTCCTAGACGCCTCCTCTACTCCAGGATAAGCTATTGACGTACAGGTCATTAGCCTAGGCTATTCATCATGACCTCGTCTTACACAATCAGTGTCAGAACGTACTAGAGTGCAGGGTCCACAGCCAATGGGGGATGGACGCGTGGCATATGATATCACATCGAAGACAGAGAAACCGCATGCCGTTGCTGACACGTGACTTGGGAAAGCAAACTATTAATTACACCGTTCCCTTGATGAGACCGCATTCAATACGGTAAGACTCGGAAATGAAAGACAATAAATGCTCCTAATACAGAGCATTTATTGCATCCTCCCCGAAAGGAGTACAATGTACCGTCGGCATCCCGATGACCCAGCATTGATTGCTCGGGACCCCGAGCAGTTAAGAAGAGAAGACATTCCTCATCAGAATCAGTGCGCACACTGCCTGTACCTAATGATCACCTACTGACTACACTGACAGCAATCATGAGCTTTTGAGGTATAAATACTCCTTGCAAAAGGCAAGACGGGTATGCAACAAAAAACTCTTTACTACATACTCACTCAGTGTTTTCTCCTTCCTCTCTCTTTCTAAAAGACTGACTAGATCGTAGGAGGGGATACGCCGGAAAACACTCCGGCGCCCTTCTAACTTGTTCTTCTTTGTTCCAGGAACCTCTTTCAGCCTTACTGGATCGTTCTTCCGCTCCCCCAGGGTCTCCCGTTGCCGTTCCAGGTTACCACCGGACCTCGCAGGCTGTTCCAAGCAGCGTGGTTGGTCACTTAACTGGTTCACTCGAATTCACCAAGGGAGAGATCTGTTCTCGTTTTTTATATTGTGCAGGATCTTGCACGCACAAACAATATGCCTTTATTACATTGGAATGATCTATCAAACTCATTGTTTGAGCCTCTCGACGAATGTTGTCCTGCAAAAGTTTACAATTTGAAATTCTTCAATTAAAGACCTCAAGAAAACTATTGTCGAGTGATTATATAGGGGCCCATGGCAACTGTATAGAGCATTTAGCTGTAAGAACTGAACTTTTGACCATAGATGCTGCTATCACTACAACACCTTAGTCCAGGCTATGATGCATGTTTTCTAGTTTCCCTACGTACGAGCCTTGATATCAATTTATACAGGGGGTAGCCCCACCAAACTCTCTGTGCCTGGGTCAATATGATTGAATCCTCTATATCAAAGGGTCTCCCCTAGCAAATTGAAGTGTCATGTCCCATAGGAAGCGGAATAGAGAGCAACCATGGGGAGTGGACTACCACACTTAATTCAGTATTAGGTTTTACACAATCAAAGGATCACCCATGCTAAAGGCCTAAGGCGAGGCATAGTGTTGCATATTACGTGCTATAGTGAGGAGTGGACTACATTGCCTATTCATATTGTCATAATATTTGGTTACCTTTAATAACCTGGAGAGGTCAAGGCCCGCCATTATTTTAGAGGATATCAACAGTAAACATTTAGGCTATACTCACGAAAATGCATTTAATGAAGGTCAGATTCTAGAAGGCAAAAGACCAAAGATTGTTACTAAAGTAGTAGGGAGAAAAAAACTTGGCCTTGTACATTTCATTATTTACTACTGCAAGCGGCTTACACTTCACACAAGGAAACAAGCAGAACGCCAAACTTTTTTAAAGCAAAGGATATCGAATGATCGATTCACCATTGAGAGCATTAACCCCAAAAGGACGAATATTGTGGTGTTCTAATAGAGGCAGATCAAACACGAACTTGATGAGCGAAATCCGCTTACGAAAAGCACACCAAAATTCAGTAATCCAAATTAACAATTGTAGAGACGAATATTACTCACTAAAAAGGTATTATTCGAATTCAGACCTTTACACTGGCAACGTCATTGTCTACTATTGCTAATTACCTCAATCTAGAATTCAACCACTGATATAACTGCCCTGATAGAACCAATGCTTTAAAGTCAGTGCAATCTCCCATGTCTAAACTCCTTCAAGTTAGATAATATCAAACAGTCAGTATGAGAGGGGTAGCTTAGAAGGTGAGCTTATTGGTCCAGGACTCCAAGTTCCACCCCGACACTAGAATTATAAATAATATTTGAGGGAAGCATAGCTTACTAGATAAAGTTGAGAGGTTCCAAATGTAAACACAGGCTAAAAAACCATCCTAATGATACCAGTTAAGGAACTGCCGTTTCTACTCCCATTTCTCCAACTAATTACCCACCCCCGGTTCCCACATGCGTTTATGCGGCAACTTGAACATGCATTGAATGCTGCTCACACTCAACTGGGCAAAAGATTAGTGCCTCGCTACAAAATAGTCAACAACAAAACCCCTCCACTGCTTAAAGACAGTTGTTAACTAACCAAAGCCCCCTTGAATTTCACGCAAAGAGGCATTAGTCGATTTCAAATTTGTCTCAACGAGAAACACATTTTAATTCAGTGGTAAACAATATAAAACTCCAAGGTCTCATCACCTTCATGTAAAGAACAAATGAATAATTCCTCAAAACCCTGTGATCTCAATTCCTGCTAGTTCCTAACTTCACAAATCAAACTAATAACACGAAATTGCATCCAAACTTAAAAAACAACAAAGCAAAAATTCAAAAGGGTGGAAACCAATACACAGTATCACAAACTTAACAATCCAATGAAATCAAAGCTCAAACCGGAGCAAATTGAGTT